AGAGAAGAGAAGAGGAAAGATCATGAGAAAGGTAGGCATATAGACCATGGAGAGGAGGAGGAAAAATGATCCAAATGTGATCTAATCACCCTGGAAAAATCATATGAATTTGTCTTGTGTGACTCTTAAACAGGTAAGATGCATCAGATTTCTGTGCAACTGGATTGCAACCCCTTCTAAACTTCCAGCTCAGTGTATTTGACTAGTGCAACATGTTTTGGTCTCTTTCTCTCCCTCCCTCTCCCTCCCCCCCCTTTCCCTCTCCCCTCTCTCACACACTTTAAATAATATTTATTTATGGTCTAACATTTGTCTTTTCTAAAACAAAAAAGCCACAATAGATTTTACAATATACATGTTTAAGAACAAAAAGTAATACAAGGCAAAAAGGAATGAGAAAGAAAAAAAATACTCAGAATATATATAGTAAGGGTATACACAAAATAAAAAAAGTATTTTATTGTGAATCCAAAATAAACCATCATATTCTGGAGGTTCTGCCAAACTCACTTAACTCTTTTGATTTAGCAAAAACAAAGATTAGTAATGAGGTGAGTAGAGCAAGACTGGTATCTAAGTCTTTCTCCCAATAGATGCTCCCAGCAGGGTAAATGCTATTGATTGTCTAAGTCCCCCAAACCTCCCACCATCTCTCTTCCCTTTTCTACATTGCTTCAGTCAGCAATGATATAATGGCCCTGCTCATTTGTTTTTTATTGCAACATAATTTCAGCATAAGGAATAGAGTTCCAATCTGGGATCTACTCATACTCTTACAATCCATACTCCAAACCTTCTCAGTATAACTCAGTTCTTCTTCCTCCCACTACTTTCTCTCAGATGCCACTGCTGTGGATATCTCATGCAATGCAAGATAGCTTAACAACATGTGTGCCCTCCAATCTTCCATGTGCCTGTCTCTCTGCCTTCTGTTGCCAATGTCCTGGCCTATGCCAATAAATCATGCCAATAGCCTAATCTTAAAGTTAGATTAATATTAAGTCAAAAGCCATATACACTTTCTTTCTCATAATATAATTGTAAATAACCAACAGTTAGCACTTATTAATATAAATATTTATTTCATACCACTTCTCAAATTCAGGAAATCCTTACTGTTAGCTTGATTTAAAAATTTCCTCACATCAATTCTCAGAGGAAAATATAGGAAAACCGCATGAAACCCAGTACCACCACTATGATACAGGTGCCATAGAAACCACAGCCCATTTTCTTCTGTATTGTCATTTCTATAGGGATATCTATCACCAGTTGATTATTCCTCTTCTATTAAAATTTACAGGGCACATTGATAATTATTATTCGCACTATCTATTAAATAACCAAGATAAATCTATTTCTCCAAAATAGCAAAATATTGCTATATTATGTATATAGCACAAATGGTTTGTGATAGTTATTGTTGTTAAGGGATAATTTTGCTTTATTCAACTTAGATTTTTATCCCTTTTATTTTTATAAATAATTTATATCTATATATTTTAATGGTCAATGACCAAAATAAAATTTCTATCAGTCTGTCTATCTTGACTTTATCTTCTGAGTTTACAGAGAAGATAATTGAGTTTACAGTTACCTCCTGCTCCTTACAGTAATGAGTCAGAAACCTCAATGCTCTTTTAAGGTCAATGTCTGATTCAATGATCTCAGTATCATTCATAGAACATAAAATAGTAACCACTGTCTACTAATACTGTGCAATTATGGGTCTTGCAAAAAGTTTATGGAGAGATAGATGGATGGATGGATGGAAGAAAGGAAGGAAAGAAGGGGTTTCTACACAACTATCAATTTAGAATATTAATTTGGAAATGAGATAAAATCAACACGTTCTTAAACTTCCTTTTACTAGCCAAGATGATAGGAAGATCAGTTAACTGGTCCGAAGTTAGATTAATGGTATCATCTTCATCTGGAAAGGTTAATTCCCAAGATTAAACCTTTCTGATTAGTAAGATTCATTCAGAAAATTGTTAAATTAAGAAAATAAGAATTTTGTTAGCCTCTACGTTCTACTTTTCTTTGTGTGCTTCTTAGCAGAATGGCCAGAATGAAGTAGGAGGGAACTCTCTCAATGTACTTTTTCCTGCTTCACTTTGTACCATATTTCTTTGCCTCATTGGCTTCTCAGATGGTTTATTTTTGGATAGAGGTTTATCAACTTTCAAGAAAACAAGTAGATCCTTATTTAGAAATAGCCTGAATGACAGATTACCTATGTAGAGCATTTTCACACTGGTGACTTATCACTAAGGTCATTTAAATCCTTTGCACCAGGCACCCAAATTCAGTGCCCAAGCCAGGCCCATCTCAGTCTAAAGAGCGTAAGTGGTGATAGTCTTTCCTCTGCTTATGTTGGGAGAGAATGAAATAAAACCAGAGGAATCTTATAATTTTTGCCCTTAAATTGTCCAGCCATAAAGCTATAAAGTCAGGACCATTCATAAATCTTGTTACAGAAGCAGATTATAGTTTGGCCATCAGGGCAGCAAAACGTATGCCAGCATGTTGTTTTTCTGATTCATGTACATTAACTCAGCTATAAGTCCTCAGTACTTTGATCTTCCTGGCAACACTATTATGAAAAGTACATGTAAAATATGTGAGCAAAGAAAACTCCACAATTACTTTAACCTACCAACTTTTCCTATCACATAGTTATCAAAAAATGTCCTATTATCAATGAATTTAGGTGAAGTTAAATGTTAGTCATGTTGTTTTGTGCTCCCTTTTTCTAATAAGAACTCCTGTGCTTAATTAAGCCAGTTCAGGAAATTAGCAGATAAGTAACTATAACTAATAAAAATAAGTAAAGGAATCAACTGTTTTTTTTCCAAATTTATCTTGATTGAAGTAAATATTGTTGAATGTTTTGGCATACATATTTACATGTGCATGACGCTGAGCTTGTTGATCAGAAAGATTGGCAGAATTCCTAGCGCCTTGTAACGGAGTGAGCTCCTGTTATTTGTCCCAGCTTCTGCCAACCTAGGAGTTCGAAAGCATGTAAAAATGCAAGTAGAAAAAACAGGAACCACCTTTGGTGGGAAGGTAACAGCATTCCGTGTGCCTTTGGCATTTAATCATGCCGGCCACATGACCACGGAGATGTCTTTAGGCAGTGCTGGTTCTTCGGCTTTGAAACAGAGATGAACACCATCCTCTAGAGTCAGGAACAAATAGCACATATGTGCAAGGGGAACCTTTACATGTATTTATGTAATTTATTACTGTTGCTAAAATTATTGTAATAAACTTGATATAAATCTAGGTATGTAGATGATATAATATTAGGTAAATAAAGTTGATTTATTTCATCTTAAAAATATAGCTGGGCAGCTTTCAAATTGACATAAGCCAGCAGGAATTTAAGGAATCAATGTAAGGGAAGGAATCAAGAAGAAGCAAGGTATTTTGATCAACCAAATGAGAAGAGATGAAATGAGCAAGATATTTGAAAATGAGCATAATGCAAGCAAAGCTCAAGAACTGGTGAAAATGACCAAAATATCCTATAGAGGGAATAGATGTCCTAACCTAACCATAAGGTCTCTTAAAGGTGCTAGATTTTTTAAAACAGATTCTATAACAGCATGGTTTGGTCTACATCAACTTCACTGGATCCTATTCCATAGGGCAGGCATACAGAGAGTGCATCCGCTGCAGCTGGAATATGTGATGTAATGTTTTTAAGGGAAATGCAGAACATTTATGTTACCTCAAAATCTACTCCACCTGGGATGTATGATGCTCTGAAAAGAACCATTATCATTAAGTGCCCATGAAGTTAATGCCATAAGAGGGAAGGTCCCGTTTTTCTTAAATATTTCTTGCAATCTTACCAATTGTTGTTCATGTTACTTATAAGTTGCCTTGATAGCATAGCTATTTAAAAAGATGGCATAGAAGCATCAGTAATTCTGACGAAAAAAAATAATATGTACTAGAGTTAGATAGTCATACTAGGCTATGGTAAATTAAAGTTTAGAGAAAAGGAACAAAAAGAAAAAAAACCCTCCAAAACCTTATATTTGAGTACATAATAGCAATAGCACTTAAACTTATATACTGCTTCATACCTTTCTAAGTGGTTTACAGAGTCAGTTTAGTGCCCTCAACAATCTGTAACAGGAAAAATCAGTAACAGGAAAAATACTTGGGCCTGATAAGCATTGCACATATTTAATCTGTCTGTCCTCTAACTTTTCATGCCAAGTCCCGTAGGAAAAGTAAAAATAAATAAATAAATAAATAAAGGTTTCCAATTTTGTAAAAATTTTAGATTTCTTTATCCCTTTCCACATGGAACCTCCATGGGAATCTGTGGCTATGACTGCCAACCCACTCATGCTGGCAGAGGAAGCATGTTGCGGGCCCTGTCAGCCCGATTATTCCAGGTGGCGGGGTCCAGGAGAAGAGCCTTCTATACTGTTGCTCCTGCACTCTGGAACATTTTGCCCCACCCCCACCCCCCCAAATGTAAGGTTGGGCCCAACACTTCTAGCCTTTCGTAAAGGCCTAAAGATGTAGCTCTGCCAGTTGGCTTGGGTCCCAATGGGGGAACTGCACAGTGGAGATGGTTGATTGAGTAATAATAGATTTCCCCCTCAACCCACTCTTTCCTGGTTCTCCCCATGTGTCCTTAGATTTTAATTTTGGTTTTAATTTATGTTTTAATGTATATGTACTGATATATTTTTATGATTCTAAGCTGTCCAGAATTACTCTATGGTAAGATGATTAGTCAATAAATTTTATGAATAAATAAATTATCTGTACATTTCTATTCCTTTTAGATAAAAATACGTATAAATTAGGATCTGAAATGTTCAGTTTATTGACTGTATTTAACTTCATGTTGCATATCTTATGATAATAACATTCACATTATTTTAAATATAAGCTATCCAAGGATAATGGGTTACAATTCAGTTTTTCCATTTTTTTAAAAAGCACATGAGAATAAATAGTGTACTTGCCACATGGTGCATATCGATCTGTAGGTCCATGCGACTCTTTATTTGTATTCCTCATACCTGTGCAGTGCAAAAAGTTCAAATTAAACATTTCACATTTTATCAGACATCCTATGTTCTCTGCCCTGTGGGGATAAATGCAGGTCCCTCCCCTATAAATACTTTTCCTGTATATAAACCTGCAATTTACTCCAATCTTCTTTTCAATACTAAACTAAAGACTTATTGGTGACTATATGTAGTTTATATTTTCAAAAAGCCAGTGATTTATTTCAAATATTTAAAACAAAAAGCGTAAGCTTGGGCTTCTTTAAAAGTGGGTAATAATCAGCCGGAATCCACTATCTGGAAGGAACTTTAGTGGCCAAAGGGTTCACTAAACAATGGGCAACACATCACAATTCTCATACCTTTACCCTTGCTATCTTCACTTGCACACCACAACACACTCTGCCTGCTATTACTAATACAGATGGAAGGCAGTAAACAGAAATGAAGTTTTGCTTGTAGTAGATCATAAAGCAGATATTTAACAGATATAGCACTGCTCACCCCTGATTTAATACATCAATAAAATCTGCACAGCTCTAAATTTTTCCCAGATAAAAAACAAAAAAAGCAGGGGTGTGGAGAGAAAAAAGACACAGACACAAAATCACAATATCCAAAGTTCTCCGATTTTTAATCCCATCAACTCACCAGTATTATTTCAGGAAAAGAAAATCCTCTCCTGAAAGATCTGGTCTCAAAACCAAGGGCACACCGTGAAGACCAATGTTTTTGGTCATTCTCGGGAGGCCAGGCTTCCTACCTCGCAAGCATGTTGTGAGGAAAAAACGAACTATTTCCCTGACTCTGACAAGGCGGACTCCCACGAGTGACAAAAATAACGAGGAAACGAGAGGGGGTGCTTCTCGCTCTACCGTATTTGTAAACTTTATTGTGAATTAGGTTCCCCTCTGACCGGCAAAAAGTGTACCGAGGATCCTTGGAGGCAAACGCATTCGCTCACACGCCCAGCACCGACATTCACCGAAGCTGCCGCTGCCCGCCTAGCTGGTAGCGCTTGGGGTCGGGGAAGAGGGGGCCGAACCTCTCGCACTCAGCGCCTTCCCGCCGCCCGCGAAGTTCGAAGCGAAACGACGAGTCACGCAAGCGAAGCGAAGGGGGCGGCGGTCCTTAAGGAGCTGCAACAACAATCCCTGCTGCTATAGCAACACAAAACATTCCGCCGCTCGCTGGCTGTTGGTCTGGCGGTCCCGGGAGCGCGCGAAGAGAAAAATGAGGAGATTAGAGAGAGGCGGCCCCAATTGCCTCCCTTCAGCCAATCAGAAGGCGGGCCGACGCCGGTGATTGCTGGCTGCTTTGGCAAAGAAGCGGCGGTGGGAGCTTTTCATCCCCGCGAGGTGAGGCACGGTTGCCCTTCCTGCCCTCAGACCGCTCAGGGCCGTTGAGTCGCCCTTCCCTTGGCTCCTAGGCGTAACCCTCATTTTCCAGCCTTTTGCTGTCCGCTGAAAGATGTTTAGCCTTGGGAGGCAAGGGAGGCATGGCTCTCAGGATCGCTGCGAAACTACACGGGACGGCCCTCATCCTTGCCTTTGCGGCAAGAGAGACTGGCGGGATGCGGATCTGTGTTTGCGTGTGTAAAATAATAATAATAATGTGTTAATGTACACGTTACCGTCTCCTTTCCAGATATTATTTGCAGTTGGAAGGTGTATCCATTCCCAAGCTTTCCAAGTATTGTTTTAAGTTCAATTGCAATGTTTAAAAGAAGACAATTAAAAGTGAAAATAATTAATGCAGAAATATAATAATGTAATATCAGAAAATGACAAAGCAATAACTAAAATGGAACAATTCATGTTTAGTATATGGAGGATGAGAAACAAAGTAAATTGAATCATTTTAATCAAATAAGGATTTGAATCTTGGAACTGTGACTAATCTTACAATGATAGAAGTACAAATAATGGGTTTAAATAAATTATTTCCAAAGTTATCTAAGATAACTTTTAAATGCCTCTTTAAAAGGTGGAATATACCGATCTTTGGACCAGCAAGAGTACTATACCATTCATTTTCCATCTTTTGGTTATGGAGAGTGGTTAAGTCTTTCATCTTTATTCTTCGTCCCATTCTAGAATATTTTACTTAAATTTGATTGTAGTTTTAAAAATACCACTAAAGCGATGAAAATGAATTGCTTTGCTGTAGAGGTGGAACTAATGCTAGCATCCTTTTGAACAAATTACCTCTTAATTCATGTGTCATTCTAACTGAGATTTTTAAAAGCCAGCTTGACTGGAGGAAAATTCTGATGATTGTCATGTAGGCTATGGTATTAATGGGAGCAAGAAGTGGGAACTCACTGAGTAACTGTTTTTAATAACAAGGAGTGCTTTTGATTAATGTGTCTAGATGTCAAACTCGATTTCATTGATGGTCGCATTATTATTGTGTTTGACCTGGGAGGGGAAGGGTAGCATGGCTGGGGGAGGGGGGGAATGGCCAGCTCCATGTCCATGTTGGGCTGGTCAGGCTGGTCAGATCCATTGTCTCCAGTAGAGGGAGGCAAGACCAGGGAGAGTGCCAAACGATGGCCTTCTGCAGTCCTCTGCCAGTGAAAACAGAGTTTGGGCGGGGCTACCCCCAGGCCTTGAGTTCGATATCCCTGGTCTAGTTTTTTTTTACAAAATATTAAATTCTGATAAGAACTGGTTGGAAGATATGCAAAATTTTGATAAGAACGAGTTGAAAGCAGCCAGAGAGAGAAATTACCCAGAAATTTACTAAAAACTTTAATAATCTGAAAACTTATTATAATGCTAGAAACACAACCTTGAATATTCAATTAGTCCAGGGGTGAAATCCTACTGGTTCGGCTTAGTTCGTCCGAACTGGTAATGAAGATAGGCCATGGTTTTCCAAACCAGGGATAAAAATCCCTGGTGGCCCCACCCTCGCCCACTTGCCTGCTCACTCGCCACTTCCGGCTGCTTGGTGCTTCACTTTTCCCCCATATAAGGTCCCTTTGCTACTTGATTTGTCTGCTTGACCCATGCTCGACCAGAAGCCTCGATCAGAAGCCTCTCCTAGAACTTCTAAGAAGCCTCACTGACAGCTGCCCACTCAAACAGGTAAGCATTGCAAGTTGTGACAATGTTTCCTCCGCCCCGGCTCCCCGGGCTCCCCTGCATGGTCTGGCTAAGCCGCCTGGCTAACTACCAACTTTCCCCCTAGCTTCCAGCTTGCTTATCTTGGCTCTTCAGACCAAATCCTGAACTGCCTTGCTGTTTGAAGAACGCCTGCCTTGCTGTTCGCCTGCTCAGCTCCTTTTGAAATCCCCGGCTTTCTGTCTGCAACTAACTCTTTCTGCAGTTTATCTCTTCAGCTAGCAACTGAATCTGCCTGCCTGCCTGCCTTGTGCCTTCAATTGGGTAAGTACAGAAAGTGGGTTTTTTTTAACTTACAAAAAAAAGGTTAGTTGGGGTTTCTTAAGATTTTTTTTAAGGAAATAATAGCCATTTAACATTTATAAAGTTTTAGCTGCTTTTATATTTTTAGATTTGTGCAGCTTTCTGAGATTTTGTGTGTTTATGTAGTGTTTCATGCTCATTACACAAACACACAAAATCATACCAAGCTGTATGTGACATTTTGTGCTTGTGATACTTGTTTTGTGAGTTCTCTGTGACTGTGACTGTGAGTTTCCTGCTTGTTGTTACAGGGGACATTTTGTGTGCTTTTACATTGTGTGAGAGTTGCACAATGGCATTGTGTTTTTTGTAGATGTGCAAGGTGCTTTTTGAGCTCTTTGTGGTTCTGTGAGTTTTCTGCTTGTGGCAGGGGCTCTTTTGTGTGAGGTGCAGCTACTTCTGCATTGTGTGTGCTGTGTTGCTTTTGTGTTGTTTTTGTATTAAAACTAGTTTCTTGTGTTTTTGTGTCTTGTGTGCTTTTGTGTTGCTTCCATCACTGCTCTTTTTCTTCCTTTTGCAGTAACAGCCTTTACCAGCAAGGATGAAAAGGCAACAAACCTTGGTTTCTTGGCCAAGAAACCAAAACTGTCACAACAACCACCAGAATTGACTTTGGATGATCCAAAGCACCACCACTTCCACCACTTGAACTTGGACTCAGAGAAAGCAGCAAGCCAAGTATTGAGTCACTTGAGCCCGAAATTGAAATCATTCTCCCTGACTGTTGGACATGGGCAGCAATATGGCAACTTCCAAGAAAAGTGTCTGGGATTGGATGTTTCAAACAAGAAACTAGGTTGCAAGTGCAAAACATGACTTCGCAATAGAGAGTGGTATTCATGTGTCCAAAGAATGGAAGCATTTCAAGATTGAGGTTTACATAAGGTTGGGTTTACCCAGAACTACCTACAAAGAAATTTAAAAGCAATTTGCTCTGATGGTGCCAGTATTATGCTTGGGAGAAAATCTGGAGTGAGCACTAGGATAGCAAAAGAGTTTCCAAACATCATCATCTGGCACTGCTTGAACCATCACCTCCAACTCATTTATAGATAGATAGATAGATAGATAGATAGATAGATAGATAGATAGATAGATAGATAGATAGATAGATAGATAGATAAAATATGCTCTATTTTTCAGCAATCCAATAGGAATTGAATTGAACTTGACAAAATATCCAAAGAATTTGACATTAGCATCGTAAAGATTAGTAGACTTTTGGGCCAAGATGGGCTGCTTGTAGTTTAAGGGCAACCATAGCTATGTGGTGTGCTTATCCAGTACTACATCAGTATTTTCATGTGAATGCAAAATACTCAGGTATGGCTGCCTCTCTGGATAATAAATATTTTTTAAATGATTTGGCATTGATAATTGAAATTCTGGAAGAAATCTCACTTCTTTCAACTGCACTTCAAGCAAACAGTACAGACATTATAAAGGCTGAGAATCTGGTAAGAAGATAAATGAAAGCATTTGAACTGCTTGCAAAGGGAAAGAGCCCATACGAAATAAAAGTTGATGGACTAATTATTTCAGAAACCTTCAAAAACATAAGTTTTGGAAAATCATAAATTTGTTGGACTTCATCGGGAAAGACTTTTAGGAAACATCATAACAAATTTGCAGAAAAGACTAGTGGACTGTGAACATTTAAAAACAGGTAGCCAATTGCAAGACCTCATGAATAAATTACAATTTCTATACTTTTTGGTGCCAGAGTACTGGGATTTTTCAGAAGTAGTAGTTTTATTGACAGAGCTGAAGAACAACTACGCACATTTGGTGACATTTTCAATTACAACATTAACATCAACAACTACAGAGATTTTTTGGAGAATGTGTTAAAAGATTCGAGTACTATGCAATTCCTGACAGTGTTAAAAAAGCAAAATATATTGTCTGAACAATTGCTGTCAGTTCTGCAGAAGTGGAAATGGGTTTCTTGAAAATGAATTTCATATGTTCAGAGAGCAGAAGTCGCCTTACCATTTCTAATTTAATCAACCTCATGACAAATCAATATTACTGGCCTACCTCTTCCAAAATTGGACCCTATTCCTGCAGTGAGAAAGTAGCTATGAGAACACCATCGCTCAGCCAATGTTCCCAGACTCAAGATCAAGAAAAGTGGAAGTAAGGAGAGCACCAATGAAAAATCGATGTGGAAACATCTTAAAGTGAAAGACCATTAACACTTTTATGTAAATATTTGTGTACCTCTTTTATTGCTTTGTGTACTTCTGTTATTTTTATTTACATATTAAATGGGTCAATTTGTGTATCATGTATATCTTCTTTTTGTAAGTCATTATTATCATTGGTGAGTTGAAGACAATACTTTTATTGCTCTTATGTAAGTATTCTTACACATAAGTATTCTTCATTATTCTTGTTTAAATATTAAATGCATGAAATAATTGGTATATTTTCTTTTTGAAGGTCATAAGGGCAAAGAAGTGACAGAGACTTGGCCCAGCCACATGACCGCCAAGCCACGCCAACAGAACTAGTAGGGAAAATTTTTAGATTTCACCATTGAATTAATCATTAATAAGATCATGCTAAAATATTAAAGAATGTTATATGTTGTTACATAGAAATGTACAATTGCTTTCTAGATGCTTTATGGCTCAAATTATGCTAACCAATGAGAGAACACATTCCAAACCCAATATGTTTAAACTTTATATAAAGTAACCTCCCCCCCCCCCACTCATTTATCACATACTTGTAGGAGATCTATCTTATTATAAAACTTATACCAACTTAGAGCAGAGGACAAAACAGCCATCAAAAACCAAAAGAAAGACCAAATGATTACTATCTTAGTGAACCACTATTATCATGGACAGCTCACAATATATACAAAAT